GACACTAAATATAATAGATATTATTCATTTATACGCTTTTGAAAAATCACGGTTCCTGACGTAGTAGGATACCTTAAACATGTACGCAATCTAACATGCACCTATTTGGTAATTGAGACATTTTTCTGTCTAAAAATACGTTCATAATGAGGTTAAGGCTCAATTACATTGGCCAAACATAGCCGTAAACGATTGGTAAAGCATTAATATTTTTGTGATTTTAATTGAATTAATATAAACTTTTTTTTTATATATACTGGTTAAATTGTACCACCTAGATTTTTGTACCACCACTTAAATTGTACCACCTACAAATGTGTTTAAATAAAATAGTATCGATTTTATTCAGTTGATTTATTGCGCTAATTTCATTTCCATAGGTATTGTACAAGCACATTAATTTTAGAATCAGTTTAAGACATAAATGTATCCTATCATACTAATACAATTTTTTTTTAAAATAAGGAGGGAGATTGTGTGTGTGTGTGCTTGTGTGTTGATATTCTCCTCACAGACAGCAAGTTAATGTCAGCCAACTCTTGCATATATATTTATTCTCAATGATCTTCGTGTAAGAAAAACTTTGCTCACAAATATATGTTGACCCAATGCTAGAGAACATTTTCTGTCTATTTGGTTTTCTGACTGTCTTGGCGGGCCGCGAAAAAAAAAATCTTTGCGGCTGCTGTTTGCCCTACCCCTGCTTTACATAAAACATCTGTCATTTGACGATTAACTTTTTTTGTGATCTAGTGTTTGTGTCGTATATCAAATAAAAAGGAAAAACTACATTAAAAATGTTTAAGAATAACTTTCAAATATTTGTTAAACATCTTATATAATGTATAAAAGATACCAATAGTTTAAACATAATGTTAAATAAAACTTGAAAAAATGAAGATTATGAATTCTCAATAAAATTATCAGGCTCCAGAATTGTTTTCCAAATTTTTACTACCTTCACTAGATGTTTATTACATTCCCTAGAGAAGTTCACTAAAAGTTTGCTCATATCCTAGTGAGTATGAAAGTTAACTTGAGATGTTTTCTAAAATTCTAGCAAATATATATAAAATTCATTGTCTCTTGAAAATAATTTAATCATGTTAGGTAAGAGGATAACAGAATGCACGCCTGAAGAATTTTGAGAAGTAAAAACTATTAAAAAAACAACAAAAAGCAAACAAACAAAATAAAACTTTGATATCATGAATTAAGTCTCAACAATATATTCTAATTTACTTAATTGAATTCATCTAGTATAGTTTCAGGTATCCAAAATTACAAATTAATTATCTGAATTAATTTTGTACTGTTCAGAATAGGCAATAAACACTGGATTAAACAGAAGAAAACATATAATTCTCTTGATATTATGCTCATATCAACTGTTTGAAAATTTATTTGTTCCTTGAAATGTTATTTATTTTCTTTTGTTTATTACATTTAATTTATAATTAATAAAGTAAACTATATTTTAAAATAAAATTCTACACATATGTATGTGTGTATTTACATAATATGTCTTTGAAATTATATATATATATCGTTCAAATTTCATGCATTTTAAAACTTCAAGTATTTTCTTTAAGTAACAAAATCCTTTTCCTTCTTTTTTTAATTACTTAATTTTGAATGAAATTTAGTCTTCTGATTTCAGTTAACTATATTTCTGTTTCTGCTATGCAGCTTTCTCAGGTCATTACTTTCATAAATAATTCACATATTGTGAACTAGTCTGTTTTTTATTTCAGTTTAAATCTTTCTTGTTTTTCAATAGTTTCTGTTTTAGTTTCTCTCCTCTGTAATCCTATAAAAAATCATCTTTTTCTGCCCAGTTATATTAAGTAAAAAAGACAAATTATGTATAGCGCCCAAAATATGTGTAACTTAGCTGTTGCATTCTATGATACGAGTGGTATATCTAATAAAAGGTTGAGCTCTAAATTGGATTTAGATTTGCTTTTTCATCACTACTGGATTTCTCATATATATATATGTGTGGAATAATAATATAATTTATCTTAATTTCTTTTCATTTCAGTATTCTGAATTTCTATTTATAATTTAGTTACTATATTTTAGCACTTATTCAAGACTAAATAAATAAGTTTTATTTCTTTGTTTGAAAATATGTGTGTAAGAATCTATAATGTTTTACATATAAATAGGTTGCCTGGTAATTTATATCGCATAATTTCTGGCGAAGTCTTTTTTAAAATCTTTGTTGGATCCGAAGAAAAAGTGTTTATAAGTATTCATCGTTGAACCTAAAAAATAACTTTTTCAGCAGAACCAGGTCATACTGTTTCAACTGTACTAAAAAGTAACTTTTGATGAAAAAAATTTTCAGGCACTGTGTAGTTCTAATTTATATTATTAAATGGATTCCTACTAATTAATTTAGATTTATAAAAAGAGGATTATGCATAATTTAATATATATGAGGAATGAAAATGGTCATAGAGGAGTTAGTATATAGTGTTCATCTATAAAATCACTATACTTAAAACACTTTTACTCCTACACATTTGACAAGACTAAAGCATTATTGAAATTAAGAATTAACCTTGTCTATTTTGTGTTAAATTAGAAAACTGTTTTTAATTATTTTACTTTTTACTCTAAAAAGTAACTAGTGTTTAGTAAGCATATTAGCAAAATTTTTTTGTATGGGTCATTCATAAATAGAAGCGCACATTATTCTGTCTTATAAAAAATATATTTTTTTGTGGCTTTAATATTAAATTTATGCGCTTCGAATTCATTATTATCCTTAATAACTTTGTGAATCGTGACTGTAATGAAAATAACCGTAACAGGAAATTATTCTGAAACTCATTAATTTATCCTTTACTGCTTCGGTGTCTGTTTTCTCCTAGCTCTGCATTCTTCGAAATTTTTTTATTTTTTCATTAAGGGGACTTGACACCCTTTTAGCAAATTTCTTTATTTACGTATTTAAAAATTATATTTTAGAATTTTATACAATGTTTCTATTCAAGAAAATGATACCAGATGAAAATTTTCATATATTATTTACATAATTTTAAAAATTTAAATTTTTGAAGAAAATTGGGAAAATTTTAAAATCCTACTCCTTTTGTAAAAATTAATTTTTTGACCTGAATTTTTTTTTATAATATTCTTATGGATGTTCTCAACAACTTTAGGGATCGATTTTAGAATAACTTTATTCGTTTTCGAGAAAAAAAATAAAATGTTGATATACAGGCTAAAAATCAACGAAAAAGCCAACATGTCTTACATTCTATTTTTTTTTTTTAAAAAGTATTCAGTTTATAGCAAAACGGATCCCTAATTTTATTACATGCTTTATTTTTAACACGCAGGAAAAAAATGGAAGTGATTGGTAAATAATTGTTGAAGGAGTAGCATTTTGAATACACTAAAATTTCGAAAAACACAAACTGAGAAAAACCACTTTAAAGTGTATAATTCTGAAAAAATAATTATTATAAGCTTAATTAAACTTAAAATACCACTTTAAGATATTACTTATACGTTTTTCTTTAAAATAATTGCATTTTCATATGTTTTCAACCCACACATTTTTATAAATGATCAACTTTTAGAGAGTACTAATTGCACAAGAAAATTCAAGAAAAACGTTAAAAATTTTTTTTCTGTCACGACAGAAATTTTATCCATTTCTTATAATATTAAAGTATTACATTTGTATGAAAAATATATCAGGAATAAGAACTGAAATTATAAAATTTTTAATATAAAATGCCTTAATTTAAAAATTTTACATGCACACATTTCACAAAGAAAAAAAATGATTGTATGCATTGCCTCGGAAATATTCTGCTTTATATATTGCACATTCTTTTTTAATGTTATTATTTCTCTTTATAAATTAGATTTTTTTTATTAAAACGCTTCTTTTAGCTTTTTTTTCTAAAAAGGGGGCGTGGCTGAATCGCCTAATTTGTTTTCAAATGAAGTTTTATTCAACTTCTAACTTTCCGACATGCACAAGTGATATATCAATCGAAAGATAATAATGCAAAGAATAGGATTAAATGAAAATAATAAAAAAAAACGATAGGTTTGGGATTTTAGGGGTACCAAGTCCCCTTAAGTATGTAGTACTGTTATTTTAAAAGATAATCATTACTATTTTCTACTATAATACATGACTTTAAGCCCATATTGTTAAATTGTATTAAAGTTATTTGTGCGGTAACTTTCCCTATTTTTTATAATCTTTAGTAACAAATAGTTTAAGATCCAGGGTTCTATTTTTAGTAAGCCTTTGATACTATCGAAACTTTTGACCTCAGATCAATACTGATTAATCCTTATATTAATCTATGAAAGAGTTAACATTATTATATTTATAAAAGTTTCGAAAGGTTTTCTATTTTTTTTATTTGCATTTGACTCTTTCGAATTAGTTGCTTTCGTTGCATTGATTTTGAATATAAAGAGCAAATCAGATATTTGATAATTGGATAATTAAGGAGTTAATAATTAATTTCAAATGCATAATGTAATAAGTAATATAAAAAAATTAAGTTAATTCTTACTTAAGTCAACAAAGAAAAAGTTTATTATCTTTATATATAAATATCTTCTATGCGTGTGTATGTGACTCAACTCCTCCTAAACGGGTAGACCGATTTTGATGAAATTTTTTGCGTCTGTTTCAGTGGATTCGAGAATGGTTTAGATTCACAATTCGGTCCGATATCGCAATTAGTTAAAAAGATATTAATTAAAAACCTTAAAACGCATAATTTGCTTTTTATTAAATAGTTATGCAATTAATATAAATGTGTGTATATACATATAACAGAATCGCAATATTAAGTGACAAAATAAAAATCGACTTTCCTTGCAATTTTTATATTTTCCTTTCTATATATGGTGTTGGACTATTTTTTTTTGTTTCTTTTTATCCATTAATTAAATTTAATTATTCTAACAAAATAGTATAGTAAAAAAAGAAATCACATTCACTTAAATTAGGCCATACCAGGCGGGATTTGAACCCACTACCTTTGGAGTAGAAGTCCAACGCGCGCATTCTATTGCACTACAGGCACACAACAAACAATTTTCCTTTATATATATATATGTTGTTTTACTACCATTTTTGTTTGTTAGTATTTATTCATTTTTTAATTTTATAAATAAATTAATATTTGAAAAAACTGTATTAACATCAGATGTCATCCACTACAAGTTTAAAAAAATGTATTTGAACTTGAATGTATGAACAGAAAGTTATTTTATTAACAACTGAAAATTTGAACCAGATACATCAATATATATATTATGTATATATATATATATATATATATATATATATATATATATATATATGTATGTGTGTGTGTGTATAATATATGTATGTATATATGTGTATATATATATATATATATATGTATGTGTGTGTGTGTATAATATATGTATGTATATATGTATATATATATGTATATATATGTATGTATATATATGTATATATATGTATGTATATATATATGTATATATGTATATATATATATACATGTATGTATATGTATATATATGTATATATATGTATACATGTATGTATATGTATATATATATGTATATATATATATATTTATATATATATATATATATATATATATATATATATATATGTAAAATATTGGCCGAGTGTAGTATTTTTTCGAGTGTTAGTAGGTTTTCATTAAACACATCTTCAGTGGACGTTCATCTCTTTTATTTTGAAGCACACACCAAAAGCTTAGGACAAAATTACTGTACATTTTCACGTTGACGAGACACACAAACTTGCGACGATATTAAAGCAAAGTGGACAGGAGACAAACAATAGCAACATCTTGGAGGGCACAACACAAATACTCAAAAAGCAGCTATGCACATTATTACATGATGACGGCAAAAAGGAAGAGCGCAGGATTACACAAGACGTTTGGTTTTATAACCAACAGTGCAAGCGTGTGATGATTACGTAATCGTAGTTCTGATTGGATAGAATGGGCAGGACAGGGATTTCTGATGCAATAATATTCATTGATTACGATTAAGATCAGGGTGTTAGTTTCGAATCAAATAATTAAAATATTATTTCAATATTATTAAAGAGTTAATTGAAAGGATGCTAGAGGGAATTATATATATATATATATATATATATATATATATATATATATATATATATATATATATATATATATATATATATATATATATATATATATATATATATACATAGGGAGAGAGTGAAAAAAAGCGTAAGAATTGAAAAAAGCATCGATGTTCATGATGAAAAACCTACCGTAAAATCCGGCGTATAACGTGCACTTTTAACACCAAAAATAAGATCGAAATTTAAGAGTGCGCGTTTTACGCCGGGTATAAAAATGTGATAACTTTAAAAATTAAAGAAAAGATGAGCATAAAAGAAATTAGAGTTTTACATAGATCTAAATACTGTTCATTTAAAAGAAATGACATACCCCATGAACTTTAAGAATTGTAGTTCTATAAGTATGCCATTTTATTAAAAAAAAACCTAAGGTTATACAACGAATAAATGACTTCAAAACATAAGAGCATTGCATAATTACATTGCAGGTCACTTCGTAAAAAAGGGGGTGCGCGTTATACGGCGAATATACCTAAACGTTCGAAAATGCAGCTTGAAAGTATAGGTGCGCGTTTTACGCCAGATTCTACGGTAATTAATAAATTGATTTTAGAACACTTTTATGGGAGCCTCATTCTTTATTTTAAATCTCTTGAACTGCTTCAGAGAGTTTGTAGAGTCACAAGATTATTAAGAGCTATGCACAGTTATCTCATTAACTAAATACTTTTGTGAATGTCTGACTTTCTTTTATTAGTTAAAACACATATGGGACTCAGATTGAGATAAAAATGAATAAATAAATAAATAACAAGTTTCCATAAGTTGTAACTTAATAATTCATGAAATAAAAGTTATTACTTATGTAATTTGGGGAGCTAGAAATTATATTTTGTCGTACTTTAAATCCGCATAACAGTCACAATGATGATAATTTATTTTACTGTTTAGGAAATAGTGCAAAACAAAACATCAATCTTATCATTTCTACCGCTTCCAAGAACGATGTTATGTAATGAAAAAGAAAATGATTCTCGCACATGAGCCATTTCTATATATTTGCATTAAAAATTTCGGATGTAATAGTGTATTTACTAGAATTAGAATCGACAAAGCAGATTAAAATCATATTAACAAAATTAATAATTAAATATAAGAAGTAAACTCATATATTTTTAAATATTATCAATGCTTATTAAGTGCAAATATAAACATAAACAATAAATTATAATTCTACATGATCTTCTTTTAGTTATAATATTTTTATTTTTTAAACCTTTTTAAATTTATTCTATTTGAGAACTTTGAACAATTTGCAAAGATAAAGAAATTCTGTCCAAATGAAAATTTTACTATAGTACGTATGATTTATGAGGGTAAAAATGATTTGATATTTCAATTCGTGCCTTATAATATGACTTCTTTAAGTAATTTATTATTTCCCAGAGTTATTTAAAATTCTACTTTAATGACTGTATAAACTGTGTATGCGTTATTTGAAATTTAGGAGAATCATGAATTTTTTATAGTCCTCAAATAAATGTTAAATCATAAGTAAAATTTGAAAAGTATTTTAAAAAAATGTTCCATGTGTAAGATTTTTCATCTTGCAAAAAAATATTACTTTACTTTCTTAAAATTATTTTTACAGTGAGATAAATATCTAACAATTTGATTTAAATTAGCATTACTTTATAGTCATTAAATTAAACCGTATTTTATGCGCTTATAACGAACGTACTTGAAAAGATTCCACATAAAATATTTATACCTTTTTATTCGAAAAGAAATCTTTGAATTTTAAAGTGTGTGCAGTCGTAGAGTTTAATTTCTTCTCGCATAGAACGCAAAATAAATTCGGCTTTTAGGTTTTAGAGCTATGGACTTTACAAAAAGAAAAAAATAACTTGATTTCCGTCCAGAAAAGAGATTCGTGGGTTTTTCTTTATTTTAAAGGGAATGTAAAACTGAAGTAATGTATTTGTAAGGATATCCACCACTACGTAAATATTTTCTACTCTTAGCATTTTCGTTTACTTTTAAGTTTATATTTAAAAAAAAATATTATTATTTTTAAAGCTGGTTTTTTTATTATCTCATTTGAAATTGTTGCGTTTATAAGCTTTTAAAACATTTTAATGCAATTATCTAAAGTGTGTGCAATTAATTAAAAGTAATGCAATTGATGAAAAGTGTATACTGAAAGTAAAATAAAAAAGCGAAAAAAATATGAATTGAGAAATACTAAACTTTTTAGGTGAAAAGATTAAAGATAATAACTTTTCTTAGTTTTTAATTTGAAAGAATTTCAAAAAAATATGTGTGTTTTAAAAGTTAAACATTTTAAGATTTAAAAATTTACGCAACAAATTTCAGTGCATTTTAAATCAGCGTTTCAAAGTTGCATGAAACCTATTTTTACAGGTTTCGAGAATCAAAGGAATCAGAAATATCTTTTGTATAGATTGACATTTATTTAAAATACAAGTTATTTAATTTTTACATACGTGTTCTATCTAGATAAATTTTAGTTAAGGTTAAATTTTGAGTGAATTAATTAATATTACATTCTGCTTCTTTTATGATTAAAAAACATTATTAGACTGTTATGATAATCGTTTCAATATATATATATATATATATATATATATATATACATGCATATATATATCAATAAACTTTGCATAAAAAATATTTTTCTAACTGATATTCATTCGGTCCTCTTAAAAGCAGGTTCCTTTTTAAAAAATACCTTTATGACTGATCTTCATTTTAATTGTTGTGTAAAATCCATATGCTTATTAATTACTGAAAAGAATAACTGTTGACAAAATAACGATTGTAAGTTCTGCGAGCACTAATATTAAATTTAAACTGATCTTTAGTAATTCAACACTGCATGTATGTTAGTGTCCTTTTTCTTTTCAGATAGTTCTATTTTAATAAGAATAATACAAATGTAATTATTTTATCAAATTATTCATATGCATTCTTCTTTATAGCACACATTGCCTCACGAATCTACTGTGTCTTGCAACGAACCCACAAGTCCACTGAAGAAAGTTTTTACCAATTCATCCCCTTGTCCATCCCGACGATGCAGTGAAGGAGATATTTTTTTGCGATGTAAGCCCCGACCTCCCCCCGTTGCTCCCAAGCAGCGAAGGGTAAGTCTCGAGCAAGGGGCCTTGCCCGCAGTTCGCGAACGACGAACTACTCTTAGCCGTGTTCTGGAGAACAATTTTTCTGTTCCAGCTAGAGAGTGCCAAACAGAAACTACTTCTAATTTTGCTTCATTCACAAGCGCTGTTGAAAGTGGCGTCACGTGCAGAGCAGAAGCAGCAGACGATTTTAGTCCCGCTATCTTTAGCCGCTCCCTCCCAGCCAGCTCTGCAACGACGAAGCAGCCTCAGTCTCCCTTGGATGACATTATAACTGCCCTCGAGAAGATCTGTAATGAGTTTACTTTTCCCGAGAACGTGAGCAGACAGCCCGAAGGGGTTGGGCGGCGTTATTCTTCTGTTTATCAGCATTCAGATTCAACATTTCAACGTGGTAACGATGATGTTTTCGAAAAGAAACAAAGCTCCTCCATCCCGCTTCAGCAAACAACTGGCGACAGTCGAATTTTGAATCCTTCCCGATCGCCCCCGTATGGGAATACAGCCACCCGAGAGGTGCTTGAAGCACGCAGTAATCCTGTAAAATCCTTGGAGTATGAATATCCTAGCGAATCTTTTAATTATGTCAACCCAACCTTTACTCAAGATGATGATGGTGAGGCAGAACCTGTTATCTATCGTTCAACTCTACAATTTACTCCTAAACCACCGGATCGACATGCTGTAAGTGCGACTTTACAGGTGTGCTCTCCGAAGCTTTCATCTCCTTATCGTGTAGAAAGATCTTCTTCTTCGTGTTCGGACAGTGCGACATCGAATAGCC